CCGGGTCTCTCCCCACCTCGCCGGGCGCTTCGGCTGTTTTCCCAGTGCCAGCAGCCTGGAAAATGCTGGTAACCCGTTTGCTGAGCACAGAGCCTGCGTTCAGGCTGGCAGTGCCCGAGGCCTTCCCAGGGCACGCCGGGCAGAGACTCCCCGCCGAGGCTGCTCCTGGCCGTGTTGCAATCTCCCCTTTCCGCCGAGGAAGGGTGGTGCCACCACCGCGGCACCTGCCCAGGTGCGGAGGGGTTTGTGCTGTGGGCCCGGCACCCGCCTCCGCGCCGTCCGTCCCCGCGGCTCCCCTCGCCGTCCCCCCCCCCGCCACGGCCTGGTTTTCCTCCCGCTGACCCAGAAAAACAACCGCCGGGTGCCACCGTGACGTGACGGCCCCGGTGCTTCTGCTTTGCCGCCGCGCCACGTGGCGCCACGAAGCAGCCAGTGGTCCCCGTGGCCACCTCCCGCCCAGGAGGGGCCTTCACACCCCCAGCTGCCTCCCGGGTTGTCGGAGCTTTGCGATTACTGATGGCTCAGCAGAAGCGGGGAGGAGGAGAGGGAGGAGGCGGCATGTCTTTCTGCAAAGAGTTTTGCTGTGTTTTTTTCAAAGCCTTTTGCCCTGCCCCGGTGCCACCGCGCTGCTGCTGCTGCTAGTGACATGGTGGCTGTGGAGCCCCTGCCAGCCCCCGGCCCTCGTGTGAAGATGAGCTTGTCACCGGCGCTGGCCTTCCCATGCGAACGTTCTTGAGAACTAAAAATAAGTCGCAAAAAATGTTGGCAGCTGGACATCCAGCCTGTCCCAGAAACCGTCCTCCTCTTCCCGTGGTGGGTGCTCCCAGTTCGCTTCTCCCTCCCCAGCACTTGCCCCGCTCCCGGCCGAGAGGGTGAGGAGGAGGATGGATTCGGCCTCCTGAGGCTGCACGGGGCCAGCAGAGCATCCCGGTCCCAGCCTGTGTGTCCCAGTTTTAGCCCGTGCATCCCAGTGCCAGCCCCGCCGTGGCCACGTGCCATCGTGCTGGTGGCTTAGGAGGGCCCCTTAGGAACCAGCAGGACCCAGGCTGGGCAGGGGAAAGGGACAGACCCCCCAGGAGCCGCCGTGGGGCCGTGCTTTTGGCCTTCTTGGGGTGAGGGGAAGAGGAGGAGCCGCTGGCCTGGCTGCCTGCCCCCTGAATCATGTGTGAGCATCGCAGGCTGCGGGGAGGGGAGTTGTTTACTGTAACTCTTGGCGGAGGTCCCGGCATGAAACCCCAAATGATTTCAAGCTGCAGCGGGAGGTCACGGCTGAAACAAACAGCTCCCAGGGCAGGAAGGGCTTTGCGAAGGGGTCCAGAGCTGCTGGAGCAGGAGGGATGCAGAGCATCCCAGGGAGCTGCCATGTGTGAGTGCCACGTGTTGGAGGAGGGGTCCCGCTGTGGGGACAGTGGACAGGGCTCCCACCCGGGGTCTGAGCTGTGCTCCTGGCCCCGCTGTCCCCGGCAGGTCTTCAGCCCTCACCACCCTGGCACTTGGTGCACGAAGCATCTCTGGAAAACCACCCCAAATTCTGTGGCTTTGGCCGGCGCTGGCCGGGTGCGCGGCTGGAACGTCGGGCCTTTGGGCGGGCTGGGCCCCCGCGTCACCCCGGGGCACTTCCAGCTGGTCCATGCTCTCCCGGTGCCTTGTTTCCATCCCATCCTCCCGCTCTCCCACCTCCTAAAAGTGTTCCCAGAACATCCCCAGCCGAGCAGGGGGCTGTGTAGGGGGGACTCCCTGTCCCGTCGATGCGCAGAGCTGGGGGCCGTGGCGGGAGGAGGAGGGTCCGCGCAGGCTCTGCCGGCGGCTCTTCCCTGGCGCTGGTGCCTCTTGGCCCTGGGGATGCTCGACAGCCTTTTTCCTGGCTCTGGGCGAGCGGTGAGAAGTTGTTTTGCTGGCTGCTGGCCGCTGGCCTGCCCGTCCTCCCTCTCCCCCAGCACATGCGTCCCCTCCCACTCCTGCTCTTCCGCTGCTTCGGAGTTTGTTTTTAAAAAGACTAAAACAAATGAGGTAAAGAGATTCCCAGAGACCCCGCCAGTGCCTTCCCCCTTGGCCCTGCGCTGCCGTCCTCCATCCCCAGAGGTGTCTGCAATAGACCCTCCTGCCCCTGTGGTTGCCCTCAAGACCTTCTTGCCCCATTTTGCCCTGGGGAGGTGCTGGAGGGGCCGTGCTGAGCCTGAGGATGCTGCTGAGGGGGAGGTGAGAACAGAGACTGCTGCTGAGTGTTGGCCGGTGGGGGCTCCCCATGGGCATTTTTGGGGCATTTTTAGCATTGCAAGCAGAAGACTGTGACAACTCTTCTCTGGGTGAGAGATGGTGATCTCTCTTCCAAGGATGGAGGCTTGGTGGGCTGATCCCTTCCTCCTCGTACTCGCACTTTCCCCTCCGAACGATGCTTCTGTGTGTCCACAGCCCTTCTCAGGGTCTCAAAGCTGAGCCCCACGGCTCTGGTCCCCCCAGGAGCCCCCACTGCATTTCCCAGCTCCTGCCCCTCCGTGGTGTAGAGCAGGACAGTGACAGGGGACAGAGGGATGGCGGATCTTCAGCGCATTCCTGTGGATCGGCAGCGTCACGTGGCGGGGCCTTGGCTGGGCTGGGAGCTGTCAGAAGTCCCCGTTTCCCAGCTTGAGATTTGCTCGTTACAGTCTGTCCTTGTCTGGCTGCCAGCAGCCCGGCACGTTGGGTAGCACTCCGTGCTGCTGCCTCCCCCCAGCCTTCCTCCCACCGAGCATCCCCCAGGGGCTTGGCCAGCGCCCGTCCCTCTGGCACCCTCCTCCTCCTCCTCCTCCTCCTCCTCCTCCTCCTCCTTGCTGGGAGCACACGTGAGCTGAGAACAGGAGGTGACAGCCCGACTTATCGCTTGCATCCTTTGAAATCGCTGATGTTTAGCAAGAATCTGAGGCCCTTTGGGGATTGCTGAAGCTGGGAGGTTTCTGGAGCAGCAGCAGGTACGGCCTCCCAGGGCGCTGGCACCGTGCTGCCAGGAGATGGGATCTGTCAGCCCTGTGGAAGACATCAGGCTTTTTGGGACCCCTGGCTTCTTGCAGGTGTTGAAGGGAACGTGGAGAGAAGACTTGGGATCTTCTTGCTTAGGGTAGACTTCACTTGGACTCTTGTTCGCTCATGAAAATGCAGCTGAAACGTGCTCGTCTGCTTTTGTCCTGTCTCACCCTCAAAGTGGGGCTGTGGGGCTCGTCCTGCCCCACATCTCGTGGCATCGTGCCACGTCCAGCCCCGAAGCCTGAGTGATAACGGGCAGAGGAGCTCAGCAGCTTTCAGGCTGCGGCTGTTAATCTTCCTCAGGCTCCTTATCGTGGGGCGGGCAGGGTGTAGCAATTAGAGCCAATTAGCCAGTTGCAAATTAAATCCCAGGCAGTTATCAGCGAGATGGAGAGAGAACGGGGTAAACCCTGCGACGGGGTTTCCTGGGAACATCAGGTCCTTCTCCGACACGGCCTGAGGTCGGGGACATTTCTGTCCTGGAGAATTGAGCTGGAGCCGAGCAGCGTTTGCCCTCGACCGGAGGGAGTTTTCCCTGCCTGGGCCACGCAGGAAAGGCAGAGCTGGCCCCGTTTCAGCAGGGCCGTGCACCCTGTCGTCTGCACGGATGTGTGCTGGGGGCTATTAATAGTCCCCGTGCCCTCCTTGGGGGGACAGGCTGGGGTGGGGGTTTGGTGGGTTCCCCCCGGCAGAGCCGTGTCCGTGCTGTGGTGCGGGGCAGGAGCCTGCAGAGGTTCCTCCTGCAGCGTCAGACTCAGCACAACTCCCTGGTGCCGCCGAGGCTGAGGCTCCAACAGCCCAGGGTGTGGTTCTCTGCCTGTAAAATAACACTTGCGTTTGTGTTTGTTTCTTTTTTTTTAATCGAAACTGCCTTTGGAAAACAATCGGCTCTCGGGCTGCATTGGCCTTGGCCCCGTGCCCTGCGAGAGCATCCCCTTTGCAGCATCTTTTCATGCAGAATTTCCTGCTCACCCGCCCGTTTCCAGCTTTCCCCCCCGTGCTGCAGTGCCCGTGGAGGAGCTGCAGCGGCCACGGCTCCCTCGCACCCGCCTGCATTTGGTTTGTGGGACACCACGGGGCTCGTCCCTGTGCCCTTTGGTGAATGGGTAGCTCAGACATCCCCTTTCTGCCTGCTCTCTCTGCTGTTTGGAGCATCCTGCTGCAGGGACGCTGGAGGGGCACTGCAGGGATGCAGGAGGGGCACTGGGATGCAGGAGGGGCACTGCAGGGATGCAGGAGGGGTACTGCAGGGATGGGCACTGAGATGCAAGAGGGGCACTGAGATGCAGGAGGGGCACTGAGATGCAGGAGGGGCACTGCAGGGATACAGGAAGGGCACTGAGATGCAGGAGGGGCACTGCAGGGATGCAGAAGGGGCACTGCAGGGATGCAGGAGGGGCACTGGGAGATGCAGGAGGGGCACTGAGATGCAGGAGGGGCACTGCAGGGATGCAGGAGGGGCACTGCATCTGCATCCCTTGGCTGGGTGGCTCTTCTGCAGGTTTGACTTCTGTTTGTTGCAGCTGGAGGCGACCAGCTCAGCTTTCCACTGGCCCGTGGCAGGTGCAGGGTAAATTAAACAAGGCTTTAGGAGCTGAGTTGGTGAAAATCCCCTGCTGCAGTGGGTGCTCCAATGCTCTGGGTAACTGGGACTATTTCAGGTGTTCCCATGAGGGTTCACCCACGGGGAGGCTCTGCATCAGGCAGGGCAGGAGTGTATTAATTTTGCAAAGCGATTCTCAGCCGTGGTGTCAGGGAGAGGTGCCTGCAGCACCTTGGAGACGCTCCAGGGGTGTATGATTTACAGGATTTTTTTTGCCCGGATGATGGAGGAGGCTTTTGCAGGCAGGAGATGGTGTGGCAAGCCCTTCTCAAGGGCAGGGCATGTTCCTCACAGTGCCCTCCCATTCATCGGGATACACCTGGGCCCCATCCTGATGTTTTCCCTACCTGAGGGGGTGGTCTGAGCTGACAGGGTGCCCTGCTTTCTGTCTCCACAGCTGCTGTGAACCCCTGCACCTCCCCACGGGTGCCCCAGACCGCTCCCATGGACCTACGGATCGGGCAGCGCGTCGTCAAGCCTGGCTCTGACACCACTTTGCTGGCCCTGAAGCACACGCAGCAGCTCCAGCACCAGCTCTTCCTTGCCAGCCTGCACCAGCAGCAAGTGGAGCAGCTCGCCCACCAGCACGTGAGGGTACGGGCAAATCGGGGCGCAGGGGGGGGGACCCACACCCACTCTTGGTGGTGGCTGGGTGGGAATGGGCACCTGGAAGAATTAATTCTGCCCCCAAAGCACGTAGCACACGGTGCCGTGCGTGTCTGCCGGCGGTGGCCTGCGTCGGGGCTGAGCTCCCGTCTCTGGCAGGGGTTAAGAGGAAGAGACTGGAAATCCCAAACGCCAAAATAACCTTCCCAGGTGAATTCCTTCTTTCCCCTGAGCTGGAGAGCCCGGAGGGCTTTGTAGCCAGCCCGGAGAGCTCTCTGACGCAAGGAGGGAGTCAGGTTGGGGGGGGTTCGTGTCTTATTTTCAGGCCAAATCCCCATCCTGCCAAGGCCAGCGGGGGGGCTGGGGCCCCCTGGGATGTGCGGAGCGGGGAAATGTTTTGAGGCACATACCATGTGTGCTGAGCCAGGAGCCAGGGCGGCTGGACAGGATGCCTGCTGTCTGTGAGCTGCCACTCCGCTTGGCCACCGCTGTTCCTCTGCCCCCAAGGCACGGCTTACTCACTTTACCAGCTAATTTACTTTTCTGGGAAGTCCTTCACTGAAATTCTCTGCTGTCACCCGGAATAGCACCCCTGCCCTGCACAGCCTCCGCTGCCAGGCTCTGCATCGTCCCAGAATTACAGCGAGGTTTAGTTTGGAAAGTTTGGCCCCTGCTGGGAGCAGGGCTGGCTTCAGAGGTAGGGCAGGTTGTGGAGGGTCACGTCCAGGCGAGCTGTGACGTCTCTGTGATCACCCCCTGCCTCTCCCACTTGCAGGGCTGCCCCACGCTCACGGCAGGAATTAGTTCCATGTATCCGGAGGGGATTTTCCTTGTGGCACATCCCGTTGCCACTCATCCTTTTGCTGTGCTCCTCCTCGGAGCCTGGCTCTGTCTGCTCCATGGTCCCCCTGGGTGGTGGAGGATGCAGTGCCCCCCCCAGCCTCAGCCCCTGCTCTCAGAATCACAGAATCACAGAATCTTCTAGGTTGGAAGGGACCTTAAAGGTCATCTTGTCCAACCGTCAACCTCACTGACAAAAATAGACACCCCCACAACAAACAAGGAGCATCATCACTAAACCAGACCTCCCAGCACCACATCAACCCGGCTTTTGAACACCTCCAGGGATGGGGCCTCAACCCCCTCCCTGGGCAGCCCATTCCAATGCCTGATGACCCTTTCAGTGAAAAAATTTTTCCTAATATCCAGCCTGAACCTCCCCTGGCGCAACTTGAGCATCCCCCATGCTCCCCTCCTGAGCATCATCCTCTGTGCTCGGTGCTTGGCAGGGCCTCACTGGTCCCAGTAACCTTGTCTGGAAGCCCTGGTGGAATCACCCTGAGGCTTTCTGAGCATCAGCTTGGTCCACACACGGAGAGTTTGAGCTGCTGCTGCCACGGCTGATGGTGCTCAGAGGCTTTTGTGCAGACGTGATGCTTTCTGACCTCCCTGGGAGATGGCATCGTCTCTGAAACCTCAGCTCTGGAAAATACCAAGATCCAAATGTTTAAGACCAGTAGAATTTTTTTTTTTTCCTCTTTTTAGTCAACTCTGAGTTTTATTTTTTATTGTATTACAACATGCCCCAGCTACAGATATGTCAAAACAGCATGAAAGGCAGCGATTTGAAACAGACTGGTTTGAGTTTTATAATGTCCCTGGGGAGGGCGTCTCTGGAGACAAAGATGCGTCCGGTTTGCTGTGATGAAACAACCTGACACGTTCTGGTCGGCCAGGGCTGCCCATCAGGTTTCCAAAAATGACATAACGGACCGTTTCAGACACGCTCCATCACCGTGGTGTTGTGCCTTGGGCTCGGGGAGGGTGGCAGGAGGGCTCCAGGCTGCGTGGGGCGACGCTGGTGTCTCCTGGTGCTGATGCTGTGTCTCTGCTCTTGCAGGTGACCATGGAGTCCCCGCACCGAGACGCTGAGCCCGGGCAACAGGAGCAGGAGCTGCGGCAGATCCTCAACAAGGACAAGAGCAAGAGAAGTAAGAGCCTCCATGTGCCTGCTGGCACGTGCCACCACATCTCTGCCCGTGTCCCCAAAACCAGGGGACGTGGTTTGAGAGGGAGTGAGATCAGAGGGGCTTTTAGAAGGGGACTCAGCAGGTGGTTCTGCCCTTATCCAGACGAAGCTCTGCCTTATCTTGGTCTAGAGGGGTGTGACAGCACCCACACCAAGAGAATTTTTTGGCCCTGGCCTGGCTGCTGTTTCTCCTTCGCGTCCTTCCAAGTGATGCCAACCAGGTGGTGCCAATAGATCTCCACGCTAACGTTGTGTCCTGTCTTAGGGCCACTTGTCCTTGCCACCCAAGCGCTGGGACTGCCCGGGGGTAGTGGGCAGGGCACGAATTTGCCACTGGAACTTGCCACGGCCGGGCTGGAGCACCCGTGGCAGTGGGGAGGGTTCCCAAAGCCCGTCCGGCTGCGATCTCCCTGCGCCATCTAGTGCCAGCGGCTGCGGGGACCTCGCTCAGCCTTTGGGTGTGCAGGGTCCTGCATCACCACCCACAGATGTGCCCGCAGCGTCCATCGCACGCACTGTGCACTGAGGAGCACTGAGATGCAGCAGGAGCACCTAGAGATGCAGGAGGGGCACTGAGATGCAGGAGGGGCACTGAGAGATGCAGGAGGAGCACTGACATGCAGAAGGGGCACTGCAGGGATACAGGACGAGCACTGAGATGCAGGAGGGGCACTGCAGGGACGCAGGAGGGGCACTGCAGGGACGCAGGAGGGGCACTGCAGGGACGCAGGAGGGGCACTGCAGGGACGCAGGAGGGGCACTGCAGGGACGCAGGAGGGGCACTGCAGGGACGCAGGAGGGGCACTGCAGGGACGCAGGAGGGGCACTGCAGGGACGCAGGAGGGGCACTGCAGGGACGCAGGAGGGGCACTGCAGGGACGCAGGAGGGGCACTGCAGGGACGCAGGAGGGGCACTGCAGGGACGCAGGAGGGGCACTGCAGGGACGCAGGAGGGGCACTGCAGGGACGCAGGAGGGGCACTGCAGGGACGCAGGAGGGGCACTGCAGGGACGCAGGAGGGGCACTGCAGGGACGCAGGAGGGGCACTGCAGGGACGCAGGAGGGGCACTGCAGGGACGCAGGAGGGGCACTGCAGGGACGCAGGAGGGGCACTGCAGGGACGCAGGAGGGGCACTGCAGGGACGCAGGAGGGGCACTGCAGGGATGCAGGAGGAGCACTGCAGGGATGCAGGGGAGCACTGAAATGCAGGAGGGGCACTGAGATGCAGGAGGGGCACTGCAGGGATACAGGAGGAGCACTGACATGCAGGAGGGGCACTGCAGGGATGCAGGAGGAGCACTGCAGGGATGCAGGGGAGCACTGAAATGCAGGAGGGGCACTGAGATGCGGGGGGGGCACTGCAG